TCCTCATCAATTCTCCAGCCATTTTGAACTGGACTCAGTCTCCCCAGTGTGCCAGGCTTTCCCTGGCTTCCCGGCTCTGCGGGAGGATGAGAGTGGGCTCCACTGACTTTTGAGGGAATCCTGGAAACACAGCCACCCTAAGAGTCATGTTTTGACGGAAGTGACATTCCAAACCAACCTTTGCAACCAAGTCCTGTAAGCCAGAGCCTGCGCAGGTTTTGTTAAAGGAATCACTTTGGGCCTGACGCTGAACTCCTTTCTGCTGTAAGACTCTTTCAGAACTTTGGAAGTTTCCATGCAGGGGGCTGATCCATTCTGTCCCTGCCTGGTTGGGCATGAGAAGTCACTTGGAATAGGCCTGGGTGAATGCTGATGAACTCCGACTTGGCTCTGGTACATAGTGCAAGTTCCCATGAGACTGCAGGGCAAGAACAGGGCCGGCTGCACACCGTGGGGAGAGGCACACCTCGTTCCCATCAAGAGACACCTGGGCCCGGTGCAAGCACATTCTCTGTGGTTAACGGGTGTGAAATCGGCGTTTATCATCAGTGACTTTTCATTGTGTGGCTTCTGTGAGTTCCCACCTTCCTTCCAAACCTCAGCAGGACACTTTCCCTTCCCTGTAGTTCAAATATGCACCACAACCTCAGCTTGATCTCAAGCTTTCTATTGCCATGTAAATAATCAGGGGAGCCCTGGAATGGTGAGCTCCAGGGGTGGGTGGGTCAGGGCCACCCCCAGGGGTGCAGAGTCTGAGGGGGCTGAACCCCAGGCGGAGGTGGGGGGGCCTCAAAAGCATTTTCATGCAGGTGAGAAAAGGAACATTTCCAGGGCATCTTGGCTGAAGCACAGAAGTGACTCCCAGAAGACCTGGCATGTGTGAGATGTAGGAGGGACACTCAATGCCTGCTTGTGCATGTGCATGAGTGTGTGTGTGTGTGTGTGTGTATGTGTGTGTACGTGTGGCGGGTATGATGAGCCTTGGGGCTCACTTTAGCATCTGCTGGTGAGCTTGCTGTGCCTGCTGACCATTTCCCAGGTCAGGCCTCCGCCCGTGATAACTACTGTTTACCAAGCACTTACTGGAGGTCAGTGACTCACATATGTGATCTCATTTCATTCTCCCAACAACCCTGACGTAAGGACTATTATCCCTGTTTAACCCACGAGGAAATGGAGGTTTGAGAGCTTTGGCTACTTTTTCACATTCTGAAGCTACGTCCCTCCACAGCACGGAAAATGTTCTGCCGTTGTTCATCTCCTTGGGACCATGTGGAAACAGGGGACTGCTTCCCCTGGGGATCACAAAGGGCTTTTGCAGTAGAGAAAGGAGACTAAGAGCACCGTTCTAGACTTTTCTTTAGCATTCTTCAAGATGTACTATCAGAAGTTCAATAAAAACAGCCTAATGTTGAGATTCATGGATAGAAAACTGATTGAACTTTCTACCTTCCTACTAGCTTATTTTCTTCTTAACCATTTCTAAATTCATGGAACCATGTTCCTCCTTGGCTTAGACATTTTTAATGCTGCTGTTGCTCTCAGGTTAAGGTCTGGACTCCTTGTGGCTCTCCAAATCCTTCAGAACGCTTCATTGAGCAGGCACAGTCATGTTCTGTAATTTAAAAGGTGGCAGTGGCTGGGAGCAGTGGCTCATGCCTGTAATCCCAGCACTTTGGGAAGCCGAGGTGGGCAGATCACCTGAAGTCCGGAGTTTGAGACCAGCCTGACCAACATGGAGAAATCCCGTCTCTATAAAAATACAAAATTAGCCAGGCGTGGTGGTGTATGCCTGTAATCCCAGCAACTCGCAAGGCTGAGGCAGGAGAATCACTTGAACCTGGGAGGCAGAGGTTGAGGTGAGCCGAGATCTCTCCATTGCACTCCAGCCTAGGCAACAAGAGCAAAACTCACTCTCAAAAAAAAAAAAAAAAAAAAGGGGGGGGCAGTAATGCCATGTTAATTAAACATCTTTCAGAAAAGAGTCTATGAGATCGATGTTTGCAGGCTAAAGACAGGTGTTGCTGCCGGAAAGTGATTTGGTTTGAGGACTCAGGACTTGGGAACATCACTCTCACCTCAACAGAACCCGTTTTTCAGTTCCCTGCTGTTTCCTGCAGAAACTGGCGGCATGTGCTTGGCCTCGCTGGAGCTGGAATTGTCTAGCAGCTTGGCTTGCTTAATCCCCCTTTCCACACCTTCCTGCCACCCTGAGGGGGAGGCCTGATGGTGCATGGGCTTCTGCAGAAGGAATTTGCCCATTCTGCTTCCGAAAATGTGCAGCTGCATTTTGCTGCTGGGAAAATATTTATTGAAGGTCTGGAAGAGTCTGACAACTTGTAAGGAACACACAGTTTTTTATCTGCAGGATGAAGTTAGTTTCTGTTTGGGCCTGGTGTTTTTGAAAGGAGGAAATCACTTTCATAAGCATCAGATTAGATCCAGGAAGCATCCGCAGGACAATGAGAAGCTGATAGAGGCCGTCTCAGGATTTTGTCATTGGTTACTATCGCCACCTCCTGGCTGAAGTTGTGAACTACACAGCATGGGTTTCCTGGGCAAACTGCTTTAAGAAAAAGTAGCCCCCTTTTCCCCCATTTTCTGCAAGTTCTCTGTGGCACAAAAGGGAAACGAGAAGACTTATTGTTTAGAGAGAGTATTTATTGGCATATTTTATATTAACTGTGATGATAAAACAGACACAAGAATGAGAAATAAAATCAGAGTGGACTTTTCTCAACTGAGGCACTAGGGAAAATAATTCCCTGGGACAAGCCTGTGACTCAGTGTTAGCTTTGCCCAAAATGAGTGGCAAAGCCCTTATCTGAGTTTCCAAGACCCCCTGCCCACTCTTTAAAGCTGACCTCTTAGCATATTGAGGGAAATCTACCAATCATTTTGGAAAATTAGTACAAAATTAAGGAATTAAAGTGAAAATTGCAATGTAAAAAATTGTTAGGTCTGAGGCATGTCTTTAGATTGTACAATGAAAAGGTGTAAGATTTGGTATCTCTCCTCTTCATTATTTTATATTGGTTTTATACCTAAGCCATTACCCTGTAGAAATGTAAGTTCTAAGTTAGGAAGAGGATTATTTGTAACGTACATGCAATACACATACATTGACAGAAGTAGAAACAGGCTTTTTCTGTCATTTAAGTTGTAGTTTTGGAGTAGATTGGTTTTTTGTTTGTTTGTTTGTTTGTTTTGGAGATGGAGTCTCGCCCTGTCGCCAGGCTGGAGTGCAGTGGTGTGATCTCTGCTCACTGCAATCTCCTCCTCCCGGGTTCAAGTGATTCTCCTGCCTCAGCCTCCCAAATAGCTGGGACTACAGGCGTGCACCACTACACCCAGCTACTTTTTGTGTTTTTGGTAGAGACAGGGTTTTACCATGTTGGTCAGGGTGGTCTCTATCTCCTGACCTCGTGATCCGCCCGTCTCAGCCTCCTAAAGTTCTGGGATTACAGATGTGAGCCACTGCGCCTGGTGGATTGTATAGTTAAAATTTTATTTAGAGATGGGGTCTTGCTCCGTCAAGCAGGCTGGATGGAGTGCAGTGGCGTGATCATAACTCACTGCAGCCTTGACTTCCTAAGTCAAGCAACCCTATCCCATCAGCCTTTCCAGAGGACAGCAGCTGGGGCCTTCAGACAATTACATTCCCTGAGTTGGAGATCTGAGAGGCATCATTTCATGGCTACCACAGACACTGAGAGCAAATATTACATTTCTTATCCCTCCTTGAAGCTTGGGTCTTGCTGAATATTGTTTCCATAAAGCAAGCTGCCATATTGAAAGGACCATGTAACGAGAAGCTGTGTGCAACCTCCAGCCAAGCAGCCAGGAGAGAACTGAGGCCTCAGTCTTCTCAGGTGGCCTACTGGCCAATATGCATATGTACAAGTTGTATGTCCAACTTCCAGGAAGGGTCCTGAAAAGAAGAGGGCTATCACTTTCTTGGCTTCTCTTCTTTCTTGCTGGCTGGAATGTGATGAGATCACTGGATCTGAAACAGCCATTTTGGACTAAAAGGCAGAAGCCACAGGTGGAGGATGATGGAGTTACAAAATAAAAGAAGCCCAAGTCGCACTGATCACAGGCCACCATGAACTTCCCGGGTTCACTGGAGAGAGAAATACGCTTCTAACTTGTGTATGTCTCTGCTTGATTTTCTGTTACTTATAACAGAACTTTATCCAAACTGAAAAAACATTTACATGTTACATGTAAAGTCCGAAGGTTAACAGAGTTAAGTATTTCCCAGAGGATAAATCATGGGAAAAGTAGAAGTTGAATTGCCTAGGACTATTCCTGGGAGGTGACATTTGCTGCTTCTAGTCAAGGTGCTAGCAAATCTCCCCATTTTGTCGCTAAGAGGGCGTTCCACTTCGTTAGCAAGGGCGAGAGAAGAAAACCACTGATGTTCGTCACGGAAGAAGCCTTTGAAAACAGCACATGAGACAGCAGCTGAGGGTCCCCCCACCGCATTCCGGGCTAACAGCATTGGCTCCAGAGGCTAACAGAGTTTACTGAGTGAAGGGACCAAGGAGGAAACCAGCTTGATTTTAATTGTCTGTCAAGTCTGTTGGAAACTAACTTTCTCTAAAGGAATGTTTTTTGAAGCTTTTAAAGCTCGAGAACATAATAAGTATTACCCTTTGCTGGGTTTCCTTTTTGGCTATAGCACAGGGGTGTATTTTCTGGAAGGATATGGTTATCTTCTCTGATGACTTTCAAAATCTGCATTTAGACTGGACGTGGTAGCTCACGCCTGTAATTCCAACACTTTGGGAGGCTGAGGCAGGCGAATCACCTGAGGTCAGGAGTTTGAGATCAGCCCGGCCAATATGGTGAAATCCCATCTCTACTAAAAATACAAAGATTAGCCAGGCATGGTGGTGGGCGCCTATAATCTCAGCTACTCTGGAGGCTGAGTCAGGAGAATTGCCTGAACCTGGGAGGTGGAGGATGCAGTGAGCCGAGATCATGCCACTGCACTGCAGCCTGGGTGACAGAACGAGACTCCTTCTCAAAACACACACACACACACACACACACACACACACACACAAGAATTTAGCCATCAAAGCACTTGAGCTATTTTATCCACAACATTTTTAGTCCTCACATGTATTCTCAATGTGTGGAAATGTCATACGTTTAGTAACTGTTCTGTAGGTTAGGAAGAAGCGTTGCAGGAGCGATAAATGCCTGAGCCTGGAAACACACCAGTCTGCTAGCTTTGGCTCTGCCACTCAACAGTTTGTGTCACCTTGGGAAAGTGCATAATCTGTGAGGCTATTTCTTTATTTACCATATGGGATTAATAACAGTCCCCAGCCTATGAGATGGCTGTAAGAATGAAGTTTTGGAATGCATGGAAAGTCTCCAGGGCTCAGGAGCGTGCTGGGTGTGTTGCAAGTACACAGTAAGTATTAGCTATTATTATTTTTATTACTACTAATACCTAATTTCTGGTCATGTGCTATTCAATACAATGTCCGCAGGCTCATTGGCCGTCACACACTTGAAATGAAGCTAGTCCAAATTGAGATGGGCTGTAAGGATTAAATACAGCCTGGATTTTGAAGTCTTAGAGGAAAGCAAGAATGTAAAATATCTTACTAATAAATTTAAAAACTATTTATTACATATTAAAATAATAACATTTTAGATAATTGAAATAAAAGGTACTATTACAATTAATTTCACCTTTTTCTTTTTCTTTATTTTTAATGTGACTACTAGAAAATTAAACATTTCCTCTGTGGCTTGCACATCAGGTATTTTTGGGGTAAGGTTTAGACAGACAGATGGGGCAGGGGTGATAAAGTGAACTAGGAAATCATGGTTTATTTTATCAGTGTATGATGGTTATTAGGGGGTCGGAAGAAGGAGGCAGAAGTTTGGGGGAGGAAATTGACTTCCCAAGGGTATTGTGGATCCTGATATAATTCACCTCCACAGATGCTGAGTGAGGTCAGGGGTGGTCACGTGTGGGAGCAGCACTCAGTCACACAAGTCTGAAGAAAGGATGGAAATCTGGTGGTTCACACAATGGAAGGTTAGAGCAGTACAAGTGTCATTAACCTCGATCCAAGGTGGAGTTTAAGATCCAGCATGGAGCATATTGTTGACGAAGAACCCATGGCAGGTTGTTTTTTTTTTTTTTTTTTTTTGAGACGGAGTCTCGCTGTGTCACCCAGGCTGGAGTGCAGTGGCGCGATCTCGGCTCACTGCAAGCTCCGCCTCCCAGGTTCACGCCATTCTCCTGCCTCAGCCTCCAAGTAGCTGGGACTACAGGCACCCGCCACCACGCTCGGCTAGTTTTTTGTATTTTTAGTAGAGACGGGGTTTCACCATGTTAGCCAGGATGGTCTCGATCTCCTGACCTCGTGATCCACCCGCCTCGGCCTCCCAAAGTGCTGGGATTACAGGCTTGAGCCACCGCGCCCGGCCTGGCAGGTTGTTATCAGGGACCTCGAGAAAGGAGGCAGAAGTAGAGGGGTAGAAAATCCCTTCCAGAGGCACTGCTGTTACTCAAATTCAATTCCACAGACCTTGATTAAGAACCTACTATGTTCCAGAAGCTCTGATAGAAACTGGTGAAGACATAGTGTCTGCCTTCAAGGTACTCACCATATAGTGGGGAAGACAGGCAGATAAACAGACAACTGTAGTACAGCTGATCAAGTTCTGTAATAGGATGCAATGGATGCTCATGGTAAGGAAAGCTAATCCATTCTTGTGGACAAAGGAAGTTTCTTAAAGAAAACAATATCTCTATTAAGGTCTATGGGAAAGTAGCTGGGGAAAGAAGGGAGAAGCACATTCTAAGTAAGAGAAACATATGTGCCAAGGTTGGGAGGTCAGGAACGCATTGCATGTTCCAGGAGCTGCACATGGCTCAGTGTTGCTGCTGAGTAGGGTGTGAGGTGAAAGTGGCTGGAAACTGGAGAGAGGAGGAGAGGCCAGATTACGGAGGAGATGGCATCACAGATGGAGGCATCCGAAGGCATGGGGGAGAAGGGATTTAAAGGCTTTAAGCAGGGGGGTGACATGCCTAGATGTGTGATTTAGGAAGATACCTCTGATCATGTTGTGGGGGTTCTGGTTCCAGGTAAGATAGATTAAATACACTCCATCCTGTCTCTCCCATCAAAATCAGTTATAATATCTAGACAGAATGTGTGGAGCAGCTATTTGAAGACTGAAAAGTAAGTAGTAGCAAGTGGTTTGGAGAAAAAGACTAGATAGAGCTTGAAGACCTGCTGGACTAGTAGTTTACATTTCCCCCATCTCCCAAATTTCCTGGACTCGACACAGCCTGAAGCATGAAAGGAGGCATTGGCATATAGACAGGTTCAGGGCAAACCAGCTGGTTAAGGTTTGAGGAGTGGGAGATGTGTCACCTAATGCTAAGAAAACGTTGGGTAATTTTTCATTTTTACTTATTTTCTCCAATCTCTTGCATCCCGGTCCCCAAGAAAGCCTGAGGTGGCAGCAGAGATAGTGGCAGCAATGGGGACGCACAGGAGCCTAAAACTCCTGGAGGGAGGGGGTGGAAACCTCTTCTCCAATTGAAGGAACTGTGGTCTCAAGAGTGTGGGCTGAACCCTTGTTGTTTTCAAAACTATTTCTTCCATTGTTTGGCCCCAGATAAGTGTTCAGTTGTAGCAAATGTGTGGCAGAGTAAGATAAATAAAGCCCCAGCTTTCTGGCTGGAAACTAAAAACAGAGAGCCCCAGGAAACCCCCACTGGGGAGATTGTGGAGAGGGAGGAGCTAAGAAAAGCAACCTTATAAAGTTGTATGTGAGCTCCTGAGCTTACCCCTGAACTCATCCACATGCATGGATCTGACTCTAAGCAGAATACCCAACTTTGAGAATTGAATTATGGGATAGACTACAGCCTGGAACCCAGAGTCACCACTGGATGGCACATGTGTGGGATGCATCTGAATAGCACTTCAAAAGTTTTGAAAATGGTGCTAACCTGGAAACCGCATAAACAGAAAGTTGGTTTCTCTCAGATTAATAAGTCCACAAATTAAATTTTTTATCATTCCTCCCTAAAATAACCAGAATTTGCTGCCTGAATTTAACAGTTTGCTAAACAAAGCATTTTGGCTGCCTAACTGAAAATACCAACATTTCCCATAGGGTTTGAATAAGACCTAGAGCTTTATAACATAATATCCAAAATACCCAGGAAACCATTCAAAATTAGTTAGCATACAAAGATCCAAGAAAAATCTCAACTTACAAAGGAAAACAAAAAAATGCCAAAGTCAGGATGTCACAGATGTTTAAATTACCTGACAAAGACTTTAAGACAGTGATTACAAAAATACTCAAAGCAGTAAGGGCAAATCCTATTGAAATGAATGGAAAGCTAGAAAATTTCAGCATACAAATAAAAATATTAAATGGAAAAAAGAACCAAATAGGAACTTTAGAAGCAAAAAATATAGTAACAAAACTTTAAAAAGCTAACTGGTTTGGGTCTGTGGAAATGACAAAAGCAAGCAGTGGTGAACTTGAAGATAGATAAATAGAAATAATCCAATGTGAATGATAGAAAGCATATTCAGCTTCTGACATTCAAAACTGATTGTAACAGTCTGATAAGAGGACTTGGGAAAGGAAAACATTTTCTAATATTTCTAGCTTCTACTTAGCGCCTCAAGAACCAAACCTTAGGGAGAAGGGGCTCAGATCTTAGAGTTCATGCCTTAAATGTAGAGAAGCTGCCTGTCTTGGCTATACAACTTGCTGCATAGAAACTTGGGTAGAAAACAAAAGGGAATTTTCATCACTTCTCATCCTGTGAGATGATGAGGGAAAAAAAGTAGGGAGAAAGAGGCAGGAGAGGTAGCTGGTTAGAAATCTGTTGCAACATTCTGCCTTTATGCTGAAGAGTGCCAGACTGTGGTGTGTTGGAGCCGGTTTGTACCAGCTCTTGAAAGCTGATAGTTAAAACTTCAGGAATTTTGCAAGCTAATTGTTAAATAGCTAGCATTTTTTTCTTAGTATTTTTTTTTTTGTTTCAATAGATTTTTGGGGAACAGATGGTCTTTGGTTACATGCATAAGTTCTTTAGTGATGAATTCTGAGATTTTGGTGCCTCCATCACCCAAGCGGTATACATTGTACCCAATGTGTAGACTTTTATCCCTTACCCCCCGACACATACCTCCTGAGTTTCCAAAGTTCATTATGTCATTCTTATGCTTCTGCTTCCTCACTTAGCTCCCACTTATAAGTGAGAACATGCGATGTTTGGTTTTCCATTCCTGAGTTACTTCACTTAGAATAATGGTCTCCAACTTCATCCACGTTGCTGCGAATGCCATTATTTCATTCCTTTTTATGGCTGAGTAGTATTCCATTGTGTATATTTAATGCATACCACATTTTCTTTATCCACTTGTTGATTGATGAGCATTTGGGCTGGTTCCATATTTTTGCAATTGCAAATTGGGTGGCTATAAACATGTGTATGCAAGTGTAAGTGTAAATAATGACTTACTTTGGGTAGATACCCAGTAGTGGGATTACTGGATCAAATGAAATATCTATTCTCAGTTCTTTTTTTTTAATCCACAATTTTCTTTTCTTCTTCTTCTTTTTTTTAAATTATGCTTTAAGTTCTAGGGTACATGTGCACAACGTGCAGGTTTGTTACATAGGTATACATGTGCCATGTTGGTTTGCTGCACCCATAAACTCATCATTTACATTAGGTATTTATCCTAATGCTATCCCTCACCCAGTTCCCCACCCCCAGACAGGCCCCCGTGTGTGATGTTCCCTGCCTTGTGTCCAAGAGTTCTCTTTGTTCAGTTCCCACCTATGAGTGAGAACATGTGGTGTTTGGTTTTCTGTCCTTGTGATAGTTTGCTGAGAATGATGGTTTCCTGCTTCATCCATGTCCCTGCAAAGAACATGAACTCATTCTTTTTTATGGCTGCATAGTATTCCATGGTGTATATGTGACACATTATCTTAATCTAGTCTATCATTGGTGGACATTTGGGTTGGTTCCAAGTCTTTGCTATTGTGAATAGTGCCACAATAAACATACATGTGCATGTGTCCTTATAGTAGCACAATTTATAATCCTTTGGGTATATACCCAGTAATGAGATTGCTGGTTCAAAT